CAACCCCCCCCCCCCCCACATCCCGTGCAAAGGCCCAGGGGATCTTCTCTGTTGCACGCAAAATATCTTACGTACGGCCGTATCGTTACAGCGGAATCCCAATACCATGTCCCTCTGTTTACTATTGTGATATCATAAAAATCGCCATTTCGTTGTAGCAACCTCCCAACTGTGGCTGAGCCCATGAAGCCATTTCCGCCGAACACCAAGACGTGATTCTTTGGTCTGGAGCTGGAATCTCCCTCGAGATTTAAATGCATCCCATATGTGTAACATTGGATAGAATTTATGTGTTGCATCTTCCACAGTGCTTAACCCATTTGGAACAGTTTCACATCTCCTTATTGTACAACATTTGAAGGGCTTACTTTTAAATACTAAAAAACGAACAAATATAGGCAAAATAAAGATCTTATTGTTGGGAGAACCGGACAACAAAATTTGTGCAAACCAAGGCAAACTGTGATATTTCGTTCCCCTGGCTTTCATATTATGGTAAAGAGACTTCAATTTTGATTCACAGTCGTACTGGTGAGAGAAATCAGCCGTGGCGGAAAATGTTTAAATGGACGAAACTGCTTTCAAATCGGGTTTTTGATAGGGTATATACATTGTACTGGCACCTTAATAATGTTTGAAGGCAAATTTAAATATAATATTACCTATGAAATGAAACAAATTGGCAAAAAAACATTTATTATTATTATTTCCTAAAGAATGAAGCAGCTAAAGATAACTCTTTGCAACCCGCTGACTTCGCTGGGGGCTGCCATTTTTGTTTGTTTCCGGCTACTGGCACATGCACATTGTTGGCATGACTTGAGCAATCGGCGCTTGCACACCGCACACGCTGAGCCATTTGCCTCAAGAGGCCAAAAATATCAAACACGTGAGATTTTTGCTCAGCTGCGCCAGAGGCAAAAATCTCACCAAAATACCCCCGCAAACGATGAGAAAACGGCGCAGCGCAAGTGGCGCGCACCAATTGCTCACCGTGTGCGGGGTACTGCTTCAAACAGAGGATAACGAACAAAAAAATTATATAAATATCTTTATATCACATTGTTGTATAATTTACGACTGTTGATGGATCCAACAAACAAACATGTGATTCGTAGTATATTCGTTGCCNAACGAACAAAAATAGACAAACTAAATATCTTATTGTTAGGAGAACCGGACAACAAAGTATGTACAAACCAAGGAAAACTGTGATATTTCGTTCCCCTGGCTTTCATATTATGGTAAAGAGACTTCAATTTTGATTCACAGTCGTACTGGTGAGAGAAATCAGCCGTGGCGGTAAATGTTTAAATGGACGAAACTGCTTTCAAACCGGGTTTTTGATAGCGTATATACATTGTACTGGCACCTTAATGTTTGAAGGCAAATTTAAATATGATATTACCTATGAAATGAAACAAATTGGCAAAAAAACACATATTTATTATTATTATTTCCTAAAGAATGAAGCAGCTAAAGATAACTCTTTGCAACCCCACAAACGAAATGGGTGCCAAATTGTTTGTAAATATAACCTTTGTTGACTCGTCACATCATACATTTTAAGGATGAGGACTCTTACTGAATATCTGATATATATATATATATATATATATATATATATATATATATATATATATATATATATATATATATATATAATAAAGGCAACATTTTGTTACATTGTAAAAATTGTTAAAATGATAAGGATATTATTATTAATCTCGAACAATAAATTGATATTTTTGTTGCCTTCTTTCTTGTTGCGAAATGGACTATGAAAGTTTGTGGTGCACTGGGATGGAAGAGAAATGAAACTGCTTTAAAATGATCTTAAGCATCCCGCACACGGTGAGCAATTGACGCGCGCCACTTGCGCTGCGCCAGATGCTCGGGCTCCTCAGTTCCCCGCAAACGCTGTGCTCTTTGCGCTCTTTGCTCAGCCAGCCTGCCCCTATCGGACGCACCGTGAACTGTGGGATCATGTGATTTAGGAAACATTACATATTGATTTTTTTTCTGAAAGTAATGAAAAATGGTGACCACGTTAATCAATCAGACTATCTTAAACTGTGTACATTTTTGTTGACTTCGCTGGGGGCTGCCATTTTTGTTTGTTTCCGGCTACCGGCACATGCGCATTGTTGGCATGACTTGAGCAATCGGCGCTTGCACCCCGCACCCGCACACGCTGAGCCATTTGCCTCAAGAGGCCAAAAATATCAAACACGTGAGATATTTTGCTCAGCTGCGANCTTTTTCACCTTTTCCCCATTATATCACCTCTTGTATCCTATGATCGAATAAAGAAACTATACAATTATAAGGATTCCAAGTTTTCCATTTATTCCACCTTATCCGAGCCTAGAACACACGAAACTTGTCCGAGCTAATAGCCTCCTCTGTTCCTTATAGGGTCATTTTTTTTTCAACAAAAAGACGTTTCTTTTTTCAGTTGACTAACGTAGTCTACATATTGACAGACTAAGGGTGCTTTCCCAGAGATTTAGATCGATCTAGAGATTAAGATTTAGATCGACCTAACTCCCTGGGGTTTCCCGCTAAATTGCAGTCAGCCGAGCGGGCACCATAGTTAATTACCCCCTTACAGCTTTTAGTAGGCGGGACAGACGCTTAAGCCGGCCAAGCTGACAGTAATCTAGTGAGACTCCCCACAGGGATAGATCGATCTAAAAATCTATGGAAATGGGGTGTAATACCCTAAGGCGATGTTTTTAGGCAAATGTTAAGATTTTCTTCCAGTGTTGAGTAACGTAGTCATTATAATTCGACAAAAAGACACTTCTTTTTTTCAGTTGAGTGACGTAGTCTTAGAGTCGCCAGATAAATACCTGAAGGCGATTTTTCCTGACCAATGTTAAGATTTATCAAAACAAAAATCTGGTACAGACTTGCTAACGACCCAGACAGTTGACACTACATTGCATACACGCTAAAAGCTGTCATTACTGTCCCAAAATTATGGTCCTCAAGTTAATAACATATGCTGAGATAACCATTTTATCATTTTATCATGTGAAGATGATATAAAAAAACGATTTTTTTACCTGTTGCAGATACTGTAATGATCATCATATTAAATACTAAGTTAAAAAATAGTCCCTACATGTACGACCTTTTTGGTAAAGCAATAAAAGCCATGCGCAATCGTGATCCTTTTTTTCTCTTGACACAACCTTGAAGAGGAAATGGCCTTAATACTGCCCGCTATCAATCATAAACAAGCAGGTGGAAGTATCATCGCTGTGTGTGTGTGTGTGTGTTTTCAGTGTCAGAGAAAAGCACACTGTATTTTTAATATTCTCGTCTTTACAAATGGAAGGAGGACCTCAATTATCTTGAAAAAAATTACCCCCCCCCCACTTCTTATGTAGCCTACTACTCTGGATACACTATATGCAGTAATGGACATGCCTTAGAATAATATGTACGAAATAAAGAACAACACTTCATTTTAAAGTTCGTCCTTAACATTTTAAGAAAAAGTCAATTCATATCTGTATATTTCCTTCAGTCCCTTAGCGAACCCTTCTTTTTCATCTAGGGCGATGTCCTGGAGCATGCCCTTACGCCAGGTATATATATATATATATATATATATATATATATATATATATATATATATATATATATATATATATATATATATAATAAAGGCAACATTTTGTTACATTGTTAAAACTGTTAAAATGATAAGGATATTATTATTAATCTCGAACAATACATTATTGATATTTTTGTTGCCTTCTTTCTTGTTGCGAAATGGACTATAAAAGTTTGTGGTAACTGGGATGGAAGAGAAATGAAACTGCTTTAAAATGATCTTAAGCATCCCGCACACGGTGAGCAATTGGCGCGCGCCACTTGCGCTGCGCCAGATGCTCAGGCTCCTCAGTTCCCCGCAAACGCTGCGCTCTTTGCTCAGCAGAGGTGCCTCCCAGCCTGCCCCTATCGGACGCACCGTGAACTGTGGGATCATGTGATTTAGGAAACATTACATATTGATTTTTTTTCTGAAAGTAATGGAAAATGGTGACCACGTTAATCAATCAGACTATCTTAAACTGTGTACATTTTTGTTGACTTCGCTGGGGGCTGCCATTTTTGTTTCCGGCTACTGGCACATGCACATTGTTGGCATGACTTGAGCAATCGGCGCTTGCACACCGCACACGCTGAGCCATTTGCCTCAAGAGGCCAAAAATATCAAACACGTGAGATTTTTGCTCAGCTGCGCGAGAGGCAAAAATCTCACCAAAATACCCCCGCAAACGATGAGAAAACGGCGCAGCGCTAGTGGCACGCACCAATTGCTCACCGTGTGCGGGGTACTGCTTCAAACAGAGGATAACGAACAAAAAATTTATATAAATATCTTTATATCACATTGTTGTATAATTTACGACTGTTGATGGATCCAACAAACAAACATGTGATTCGTTGTATAGGCCTATTCGTTGCCAAACATCGGCTCATTCGAACATTTAATCATTTATTTCCTGACAATACCAAATTCTTTTTAGATAAATTAACCAGCCTCGATCTAGAAGAATATGTCCTGCACAACAATATTGAAACAACCAACAAAAGAATGAAAACTAATCCAGTGCAAGCCGCAAGGAACATTAAATTGAAACTGTGTTCATTGCATTTTCCACTATCTTTGGCAGTGTCCGGTGAAAAGTGTGCCTTGTTGCCTTCATAATGGGACAGAATTTGCGACTTCCCTGCAATACAAAGAAATGAATCCAATTTGAAGAGCGAAAATGGTCAAAATTTAAAACAGGCAAAACATACAAAAATATATTATAAATCTAGATAATCTTAACTCTGCAAGACAGGCATAATATGTCGCCCCCTCAAGTTTATTAACACCACACTTTAAACGTGCTTAAGTCATCAATTGGCACTTAAGTATCATGAGACAAACATAGTATTTAACATTCCACATACGTTCTAAGTTTGATTCAGTATCTTCCTGTACACGCAAGACTGTGTTCACAGCCATCTCTATGAATTTCTTCGCTGCGGGATCGTCATCCGGTGAAGCCTGTCTTTCCGGTAGGGATAAACTCAACGCGTCGTGTTCCCCATTACTGCGTCGTTTACGACTACGTGGCAGCTTGTCATGTCCCGGACCATGGCAGTGATTCTAATATTTTGAAAACCCATTATATATTGTTTAGTTGTAATGATGTAATGCGTGTAATATGATGATATGGGTGATTGTGACATTTACTTATTTAAACAAGATCTTTAAGTTACAGCTGTTATTCACATTGTTACAGATGGCATTCTGTATATAGATACCAAGGCCAATAAAGAAACTGAACTGGTCTGTCTTTATTTGATTGATTTAAAGAAAAAAAAANGGTCTGAGCGTGGAAGTGAGAGGAAGAGTAAAAGTTAAAGAAAGTAGAAATGAATGTGCCTTAACTTCTCTCTCATTCTACCTGTAGGTTTTTTTTAAACTAAAACCAATAATAATAATTGTTTTGCTTAAACGATATTGCTGCCAAGTGTATTTAAGAAAAGGTTTAATATTCAACGTTTTTCTTAGAATAACCATTATTATTATTTCAAATGCACCAACCAACTTTTGGTTGCAAATAAATATTATAGATATTATACCACTAACGAGAAAGTAAATTCCCCCAAATTCAAGGTATTATTGACTATGGATGTAACGGCATGATAATGATGAATGAAAGGGGAGTTGGTTAAATATTCAATACCTTGTTTAAATACATAATAAATAACATGCATAACGATTTAACTTACAATCGCAATTCCACACCTATTCCTTTCAGCTGCGTCATCGAGCATGACGTCTCTCCGATACTCTGTGGCATAAGTGTGGAGAAATGCGCATGCGCCAGCATCTTCTCCCTCGTTATACACGGCCGACACATTTGCCCACAGCATTCTAGCCTCATACGTCAGACTCATTATGTTACCAAATTTGCTTTTACTGCAAACAATTTCCCCTAAAGTATCGACAAATCTTGGGTAAAATAATCAATTTAAAGTCATAGAGTTATTCAAAAATATTTTATAAAAGAAATACACCGATATATCCAAGTGTTCGACTTAAGCCTACTACAAAATTTAGCCAATATTAAAGTGCACATTTTATGTTACACATATCACTGACAATGGTACACAAGGAACATTAACTTATTTCTAAATTTGGATTCCAAACTATGACAAGGGAATTGCAGAGTAAGTTAGGTAACTGTGCTTTACTTACATGGGTCAATGTGGTAATGTGATACCTGTTAAATAAGGATACATAATATTTACATAAGAACATGATTTGTCAATAGTATTGACGATTTTCCTGTAGGATTGTTTTGATATAATCTTAATCTAAGACTGCAGCAAACACAAATTATCACGAAATTCACTGCCTCTAGGGGATTTCACATTTTCATAAACTGTTATATCGTAAAACTTACTAAACGGTCTTCTGTTAGATCCTCATCGATTTCCCCATCGTTATCGTCGTCTAAAAATATTCGAAAAGGATTCAGATACATGATAAAATAGTAATCAGCAATGGTTTTATTTCCGATGGATTACTTCTATATACATGTGTATATGGCAATTTATATTTGCCCACAGTCAGTAATTCCCCAAATAATTTAAAGTATCCATCGTGACTTGGAGCTCCCTCTTAAAAATAAACACCTTTAGAATTATTATTTACAATCGTAGTCACATGGAAATTTATCCAAAGTGCCTGACTCTTATTGCCTATATGCTGCCATATTGTAATTTTTCTCCACTCATCTATCACAGATAGGTCAGTTCGAGTACTCTCATATATTCCATGGAACGATTGCCAAATCCAAATTCGTGTTTTAATTTTAACCATCTTATGAATCACTTACCGATATGGTTGTAGACCTCCTCGTCAACAAACCCGTCACAGTCGTTGTCAATTAAATCCCCAGCCACTGTGATGCTTGGGTGACATGGCTGAAATAACGCGAACAAAACTGAATTTCTGTTTTACCAATCGTTGCAGTCACAGCAAAACCTTCGGTGGGGCTACCTCAAAACAAATGAGTGCATGTTGCAGTCAAACCTAAAACTATGTTATAGATGCAACATGATTCAGCTAAGTGTTTCCACACATACATGCATCATTCTGAGCTAGGGGTGTTATATACCTGTATGACGTTTACACAATGTCCCATTCATAAGCAGTATGAGGCATGCGTGTATGCAAGATACAAAACGTTAGGTTGCTGCATATTTTCGACATCCGCTAGTTGTTATTTATCTACAAGTGTTATAATTATAATAAGGTAACAAGGAACTTTTCTTATAACCCAAATAATGGGAACAGGTATACTTACATGCGTTATAGTATACAACGCCCCAGCAGGGAAAGCATGCCCGACGTTATCTCCATAACCATACACAGAGACTAGAACTCCTTCCTGTGGCTGATCATTACTTATATAATGTGTTCCTCTATCAACATTTGCGGTGGTTGCGTTCAGTTGTAGCATGGGCGTTCTTATAGACAGGTCTGAATTCCAGTGCACTTGCCCTCCATCCAACGTTAGAGTTTTGAGGCAATAGGAAATTGATATCATGCTGACGCCGTTTAAACGCGATCCAGCCGAGACAAAGGTGACGTTTTTGGGGGTCTGTTCAAATGGGGTTGCCACTGCAGTATCTAGCCCCCCTGTTGATGTTCCATCTTGGAAGTGATGCCTGCAAGACGTATGGACACCAACCAGAATTGGGTCATGCTCCCGTGCGGTAATGGTCAGGAGAGACTGCGCATACGTTTCGTACGTAACATGCCTCTCGAGCGTTTCTGATAAAGTTGGTTGATTATTCCCTTGTGCAACGACGTAATTCTGTTCAGAGCGACTGGACAAAATCACCAAGGTCCAATTGTTGCTGGCCTCTGAATGCCTTGGTGATATGGTGTACATTCTTCCCCATGCTGACATCGGCGGCATCATCTCTAGGACGATATCTTTCGTGGAGCCATACTGTTCTCTGGCACCGCTTATCACGGCAATGGGCCTGTCAGAATTGATAAAAGTTTGAGTTAAAGAGAACGCCTTACTGTGGATGTGAAATGTTTCATACTTGGACAGCCTGATTTCAAGCATACGGTGCCTTGTGAACTCGCTACCATTGTATAATACAAAAACACCCTCTACCTTTGGCATGGTGATTCGAACCCTGGTGTCGTTTTCCACTGCAATGATGATGATTTCCGAATGCTGGGAATAATCATCATTGTGCCGTGAGTCAATGGAGCACAAGGCGACGTATTCTTGGCCTAATACATCAACTGGAAGGGCAAGGTATCCGCCGGAGAAACCGGGTCCTTCTGCGAGTCCAAATACTGCAATATCACGGGAACTTTCAACTAATATGCTGTCTGTTGCAAAACCGGTCGCGTTCGACTTGAAAAGCGCTCTTGGCATGCTCACCGTAGTCTCTTTGCCTTTCTGGACACTGACTGATACTGGTGGATAGTCAGGGTGCAATGGGGTGGACACTCGGACATCAGCAGGGGTGTCACTATAACTTGTCATCTTTAACATCAAACGCACATCTTTTTTATCGTCCGTGCAAGTGAAAGGCGACAGTAGTGCGTTTCCAAAGAATGACAGGACGAAGCTTTTACCCATGTTGTCTCTCTTCCCTGAAAGAGTGGTTGAACGGTAACAAGAATCGTGCTTTTGCAATGATAGAGGCATAAATTGTTTACGATATCTTTTATAACTAATACTAACTAATATAGTAACCACTACAACTAGTAGTATTTCACTTATGTACTTGATATAAGAAAAACCAATGCACCACGCGCGATTCATGTTAGACATCTTCGCCAACACGGACTTGTGAAGGCATGCACGCACACACGTCTACGCTAGCGCATGATGCTTCCGCACCACGCGTTCACAGCCACTCACACAACTGCCTCGCGTATTATAACTGTTAACAAATTTGCACGCGCTTGCGTGTGGATGTGCACTGCTGCATTAAATTGTATTATATCACTGGTAATCGATCTAACCAACATCTTCACGTTAATGCACGAACCTTCGCTGGCCGCTGCTGTTCGGCTTGCTGGCTCACACGTGCAGTACACATCGGCCCTGTGATCTCCGCTGTTGGTGCAGTTACCGTTACCGTCACAAAGGCAATGGCAAGGTGCTGAAATATTAAAGAAAATATACAAAAAAAAACATTCTAAGATATAAAAATATAAAACAACAATAAAACCATTCAAAAATAAAAGTACCCGAGAAGGCACTGAAAACTGGCAATAGAAATGATCCCAAATTCATTGTCTTTAAACCTTTGTATTGGCTAGATCTGAAAAGCAAGTACCGGTACATCTAATTTTGTTGCATCTTCTTACTCGTAATGCAGGTCAATGCTGCGTGCATTCATTATGAGAAACAAAATTGTATCATTTTTCAGATTCATAAAAAATTATGAAATATGGATCTACTTACAGCACTCGAAATTCCTCTCATACCAACCAGGTTTGCATTTGCACACTGTCCCAAAAGGTTCGTCATGGACACAATGGCTGCCATATACGTAACTTGCGCAATCCAGGTCATGATTACAATCCATTCCCAGCACTGGACGAGATGACAAAACAATTGAACATGAAGAAAATCAAATTAAATGATAACCAATATAACCATTTTTAATACCGTGCTAGTAGCTGTACACAACATGGTTTATTTTAAGCAAAATGATGGCCGACCTTTAGACAGTTAAACGACAAAGACTTAATACCAAATATACCATTTCCAAAGATGAATCTCAAATGTCATTTTAGTTACTGCCATAGAAAGTAGTGTATCGAAGGGAGTATCGAAGGGAGATTATATTCCCCATATAGAACAACACATCAACATACGGCAATGACACTGTAGAAGATACTATAGAGTAATATAAAACCATTGACGTTAGATTCCAAGTATTTATATTGAAATATTATATAAATATTATGATATCATATTGACATTTAATTTATTCATAAAAATTTTATATAGCAATATTTATTTTGAGAAAATATAAAAAAACAGCTACAGTTGTTCATTGTATTTCAGTCGTGTTTGTACAAGATTTGACAAGGTTGAAAACGTTAACAGATATATTGAATAATAAAGAGAGTCTACCTTTCTCACAGTTACCCATATGATCCGGTGCAAACCCAGGTCTACACTCACACCTCCCTCTCCTACACACACTGTTGATATCAGAACCCGAGCATATGCAAAATTTTGATGGATCGATTTCTTCATCAAATGCTGAAAAAAAGAGACCATACACGCTTTCCATTTCACAACGACAGTGTTCCTTACAATCTACAGGTAAATTGGTGACAGTTATAATAGCAATCAAATTGAATTCTTTAGCAACAATGAATTGTTTTGCTGATCAAAGTACCTTCGAGTTTCAGGCCCGTTTTTCTAAACAAACCAGAGATTGCTTTGGTAATCGCTGATAGGATACTTACTCTGATAATAACCGCCTGAACCACTGGTTTCGATAATTATTGTAATTCTATCAGGCTCCTCCGCATCGCCTTCAAAAGCACTGACCGTCAAGTAATAGGTATGCTGTCCCTGTAAGCGAGCACGAATCTTAGAATTTAATCTTACATCACCGTCGTCGTTTCTAACAATTATGCTTGATGGCAGAGGTTGTGACGTCATAGGATCAATGGCGCCATATAATTCCATGAAGGCATCACAGCCTTCATAACCCAACGANCAATAGAAATGATCCCAAATTTATTGTCTTTAAACCTTTGTATTGGCTAGATCTGAAAAGCAAGTACCGGTACATCTAATTTTGCTGCATCTTCTTACTCATAATGCATGTCAATGTTGCGTGCATTCATTGTGAGAAACAAAATTGTATCATTTTTCAGATTCATCAAAAATTATGAAATATGGATCTACTTACAGCACTCGAAATTCCTCTCATACCAACCAGGTTTGCATTTGCACACTGTCCCAAAAGGCTCGTCAAGGACACAATGGCTGCCATATACGTAACTTGCGCAATCCAGGTCATGATTGCAATCCATTCCCAGCACTGAACGAGATGACAAAACAATTCAACATGAGGAAAATCAAATTAAATTATAACCAATATAATCATTTTTAATACCGTGCTAGTAGCTGTACACAACATGGTTTATTTTTAGCAAAATGATGGCCGACCTTTAGACAGTTAAACGACAAAGACTTAATACCAAATATACCATTTCCAAAGATGAATCTCAAATGTCATTTAAGTTACTGCCATAGAAAGTAGTGTATCGAAGGGAGTGCGGATTATATTCCCCATATAGAACAACACATCAACATACGGCAATGACACTGTAGAAGATACTATAGAGTAATATAAAACCACTGACGTAACATTCCAAGTATTTATATTGAAATATTATATAAATATTATGATATCATATTAATATTTAATTTATTCATAAAAAAATTATATGGCAATATTTATTTAGAGAAAATATAAAAAAACAGCTACAGTTGTTCATTGTATTTCAGTCGTGTTTGTACAAGATTTGACAAGGTTGAAAACGTTAACAGATATATTGAATAATAAAGAGAGTCTACCTTTCTCACAGTTACCCATATGATCCGGTGCAAACCCAGGTTTACACTCACACCTCCCTCTCCTACACACACTGTTGATATCAGAACCCGAGCATATGCAAAATTTTGATGGATCGATTTCTTCATCAAATGCTGAAAAAAAAGAGACCATACACGCTTTCCATTTCACAACGACAGTGTTCCTTACAATCTACAGGTAAATTGGTGACAGTTATAATAGCAATCAAATTGAATTCTTTAGCAACAATGAATTGTTTTGCTGATTAAAGAACCTCCGAGTTTCAGGCCCGTTTTTTTTAAACAAACCAGAGATTGCTTTGGTAATCGCTGATAGTATACTTACTCTGATAATAACCGCCTGAACCACTGGTTTCGATAATTATTGTAATTCTATCAGGCTCCTCCGCATCGCCTTCAAAAGCACTGACCGTCAAGTAATAGGTATGCTGTCCCTGTAAGCGAGCACGAATCTTAGAATTTAATCTTACATCGCCGTCGTCGTTTCTAACAATTATGCTTGATGGCAGAGGTTGTGACGTCATAGGATCAATGGCGCCATATAATTCCATGAAGGCATCACAGCCTTCATAACCCAACGAAATCCTAATGTCGTTGGTGTCTTGTAGAGTGAAACTGTACACAGTGTCCCCTTTTGATAAGACGCTCCGTCCACCTGTGTGTATGTTTGGGGCGTACTTATTGTACTTCGTGTATACGTCATATGTATGGTTGGAAACCAGTACTCCAAGATCCATGACAAGAACTGACAAAGAAAAGAAGAACAATGGTTTTTGCTTCAACGTATTATTTACAATGGTAAAGGGGAGTGTAATGCAGCAAAGTGGGAATGATTTACATCTTCTATCATGTGTAGGCATAAGAAATATAATAAATGTGCTGAACGCTGCCAAAAATCAGGAACTGATTATTACAACGACTTAAATCAAGGTCCTCAGCCTGAGCGGAACACGGCGGCCCCTTATTACAAGGTGACATTTTACTGTAGACTAACACCACGCCGCTGCTAATTTGACACGTCACTATTTTTTTGGTCCAAACAACATCTACATGGCTGATGTGAGAACCATTCAGTCCATTTATACCCGCTATATACACTCAAGGAAAAAAATGCAACACTCAGTTTTGGTAGTTTTTGGGGGGCAGAATAATTTTATTTTGAGATCTGCCAGGTTTATATGAACCCTACATCAATTTCTAATCCTGAGACCAACTTTTTTGGCATTTACACATTTTTGAGTCCAATAACACAACCAAACAATAGAGCACCCCCCCCCCCCCCCCCCAAAAAAAAAAAAAAAAGCAAAAGTGGCAGAAATTGCATCATACTGTTAATAGTTCACGTGACCCCACGTTGGCATCCTGGACATTCGTCGCCTCATGGATCGGCATAGTGTCTGAGTTGATCCTGTGGAATCGCGGCCCATTCTTCCACCAGTGCCTCCCTCAGCTGCTGCCGAGTTTCGGGAGGATGTTCACGACGGCGGACACGCAAACCGAGCAGATCCCAGACATTTTCAATGGAAGTTAAGTCCGGACTGAGGGCTGGCCAAGGCAGGATATGGACGTCATTCTCCTCCAAGAAGTTGGTGCACACACGAGCCACATGGGGTCGCACATTGTCGTGCTGGAATAGAGCTCCCGCCCCAACTTGGTCCGGAAAAGGTAGCACCACAGGCCTCAGGATCTCATCCCAATAACAGAGACCATTGAGATTTCCTTCGATGAAAACCAGGTCTGTCTGGTGCTTTGCCGATATGGCTGCCCAAACCATGACACTGGGACCGCCCCACCGGTTCACTTGGCGCACACAAGGTTCGGCATACCTCTCCTATACACCCGATCTCGGTCATCTGCTCTGAAGCACTGGAACCTTTTCTCGTCGCTGAACACGACTTAGGACCACCTCTGCAAAGTCCAACGATGATGTGCAGTGCACCATTCGACCCGAGCTCGGCGATGTTGGTGGGTGAGTACTGATCCAACATATGGCCGATATGGTCGGATACTGTCAGCGCGGAAGCGATTACAGATGGTTCTGGCCGACACTGGCCTGTGGTGTGTCCCAATGGTAGCGGGCCGGAACCTGTCACGGAGATGTGCCAACCGGTTGGCGCGGTCTTGTGCAGCGATCGTTACACGGGGGCGACCAGTACGAGGGCAGTCGTTAGAGGAACCAGTGGCATGGTATCGCTCAGCAAGACGAGTAATGGTGACAGCAAGACAACCCTGTCCAGCTTGGAGCATGTCAATAGCTAGATCTCTCTCTGCTTGCGACAATCGTGGCATTGTGAAGAAGTGTGTTTTTGGCTTCATTCTGGTGCCCTTTTATAGAGAAGGCTTGAACACAATTAACCAGTGATAAAACTCAACTCTGAGTTTCAAACATGAGTTTGTGTGCATAAACCATCCTGAAATGCACGGTTTATTGTCCTTACAATCAGTCAAGCGGAACCAAGAAATCTGTTAACCTGCCTTCATCCTAACTTAGAGTGAAATCATGATGCTAAGCCATTTTTCTAAATACACTCGTATTTCTTAGGAATTTTCGAAAATTAAAATGTTGCGTTTCTTTTTTCCTTGAGTGTATATATGATAACACACCCGTCGGTGCTTGTGTAGTATCATCCAACTCTTACCCGTTTCGCAGATCGTTACATGCGTCGACACATTCACAAATGAATTAAGTGTGTTTAACCCCGTAATATGCAGATCTCTTATCGGCAAGTACCGTTTATCGTCTATCACAGCTATATCCGCCGTTGCTTGTCCAGAATGACAGTTGCAGGCAAATCTGAAACAATTTTAGGGGAATCAGATGAGCTATACACACCATCTTTATTTCATTTCTGTGGCATTTAACGTTTTTGTTATGTACCAGCACTCGTAGATATAAGATATTTCACAGTCAATGCTGCAATGCTGTGAAATATCTTATATTTCACAGTCAATGCTGCAATGCTGTGAAATATAAGATATTTCACAGCATTGCAGCATTGACTGGCTTCTACGAATTGTAACATTGGATTGACAAGAGGCATGATATATTGTAATCCACAGCGCATCGAAATTTTGAGAAACATATTGGGGATTTTCTTCGCATTTCTTGCAAAATTGTTAACTAAAATAATTTTACAACTTTAACTAAAACAACTCGTGCATAGATGGTACGAGTTCTGACGGAAAATAGAAGAAACTAGTGTCCAGATATGTTTTATCTAAAAAAATTAACTGTTTGAATCTACAACTGGATGGATCAAAATGCACACATTGGTTTGCTAAAATATTTTGGATCCATGCCAATTGTAAGACATCCGGGTTACCTGCTATCCACACACGTATTCTGAAAGGTTGCATTACATGCGCAGTTTGAACTATTGATTGGTGCTCCCCAGCCCGTGATTGGGTAACCCTGGCGCGAGGTCCACCACGTGCTGCCCCCAAACACGGTCGCATTGATGCAGCTGACTCCAATATGCTGAAAAGAAATAGGATTAAGCTCATAATGCATAAGACCATAGGAGAGTGAAAATATGCAAAGTCATACACTCATAGTTCTGACATTCGATAGATCAAAATATTGCCGGTGTGGCGTGACGAAAGCGTTCTACAGTATGCCATACGCGTGTTCACTGTTTGAAATTATTTAGTCAGTGCTGGCAAAGAGATACCGAATGTTTTGTGCCGGTAAGCTTACATTCCAAATGACGGACAAATTTTACGACAGCATTCAGATTCAGACATCGTATTACTGGTTACCAGGTCGGTTCAACTCTGCGGGGGATTCTCGTTGTGGTGAAATCAGTCATATCAGCTAAATTGTCTGACACGCCTCCTCGAGCAGCTAGGGGGTAATTAAATATATTTTTGCTTATTAAGCTGATTCTTCTGATTGCACTTTTAAGCGAGAATCCCCGCGGAGTGGGACCGATCCATCTAGTACGAAGCGTAAATTTGAATGCGTCAAAAAAAAAAAAAAAAAAAAGAAAAAAACAATTACACGGTGCATTGTGCTGACTGTCATTCTGTGCCCCAGGGTTACCTGGGCGGCGCTTCTCTTTATAGACATAATTGTACAAAGTCTAAAAGAGTGCACCTTTGGTGGCGAATGCAACTTCATGTTGATAAAATTGCCCAGAAAGTCACAAAAAAATATTACGACCTGCTTCATGTGTTTCATTTAAGTGATATTTACTGTACTATAGGTAACAGCTAAATTCAAGACACCTTACTGCAGTATAATAATACATACACGATTATGTAAATAACATACTAACCTGTTCGCAATTTAATGATGCATCCGTTATGGCGGACAGAAAGTTTAAATTCAGCCTTTTTTCCTTATACGAGTAAGCTAAAGACACATTGCTGTTGTTTGAAAACTGATAATCTGTGTCACCGTAAATCGTGAAGTCGTTGTATCCTCCAATTTCCGCCTCTTCACATCTGGCGTAAATGGGGGGAACGTTTGATGATGGATATATCCATGCTTTCATTCCAGTCGGGAATACATCGTGGCACGTTCTGTAAGCATCTTTATCAAACACATCGTTCATATCTGAAATAAAAACAAATAAATACAGGACTGAAACGATAACTCTGCGAATGATCGAATAAACAGGGGTGATCTGAACAAAATTTCGTAATATTTGCAAAACGACAAACACGTGCTCCCGTGCTCTGTACACAGCCCGTGGGATAAGTGACGTAAGATACTATATTTTTACGTGAACGTAAAATACGCAAACAAAAAGTTAAATTCAATAAGTAAGTCAGCACAATTTTAAATTAAACAAAACAATGCTCGTTTCGCTAAAATAGGCCTTTTGATATTGTTTAACACATGCTAGACACATTCGGATTAATGTGCACTATTTCATACGCGTTGGTAATTTAGCGTGCATGCAAAACTCGACTTTTATAAAAATATCCATAAGATAATTGCCTACCAATTTCGCAAACGAATTGGAATTGCATTGTGCATTTTGTGTCAGTTAACTGCCCCAAATATAATGTCACGCAACTGGTGCTGTTCACCCATATCTTTGGAGATATACCTGAAAATATAGTAGGTCAGAGGTCAGACTTGATCTCGGTTACCAAAGTCCACTTGGACTGCAATTGCAACGAGAGAGAGAGAGAGAGAGAGAGAGAGAGAGAGAGAGAGAGAGAGATGGGGGGGGGCATTTCTTACTGGCAATATGCGTATGACTGTCGATATATTGGTCCATGAATGAAAGCTCTGCTTGAGTTTCCAAATCTACCAGATGGCCGCCATCATTAGCACAGATCTCTTGCGCCATATCCCAAGTAAGTTCAGTCATATATAACTTGTAACAGGAAGACCTGTGTCGAAAGTTGTAACCCGCGGGACAAGGTCGATAATTGTTCACACAGACTGGGACATTGTCGTCTACTAAGTGGGAATCAGGGAAGCACAGGCGCCTGTTATTCGGTCGCTTGCACATAAACCTCCCTTCCTCATTGCAATTTAGCGGTTTCCACATCCCATGTTTATCCGGTGGATCGAGTGAATCGTAAAATAACCCGGCACATTTGTAAGCGACATCTCTAAAAGCGTTGTACTGATATTTAACGCTGTTGCCGTCAGTCCAGTGCAATAGTCCGTCAAGGCCGATGTGAAACCATTCATCAGTAGTTGGCGGACTAATAACAAAGATAAAGATACACATTAGTGGACATGGCTTTCTAATGGATTTGTTAGCATAAGTATTAAATCAGCAACATTCTAAACGTCAAAGTGGCACAGAACTGTATGACCGTGTGTGTGTGTGTGTGTGTGAGAGAGAGAGAGAGAGAGAGAGAGAAAGGCAGGTCCAGGGGTTACAGAACGCCACGCCTGAGGTACCCCTGCTCCCACTTTTCCCTCTAAAAAATAACACGCAACAAAACAAGACAAAACTAAGCAAGTGTTTGCACCCTTATTCCCACAGTCATATTGCCCTTGTTGGTATACACTTTTATATTTGTCGACCGAAGCAATGCAAACAAGGCATACTAGTAATATGATATACCTAGTAGGAAACTTCCCGTAACCATCTCCAGAATAGTTACGTGACTCGATATCAAATACTGGAGTGACGGGAGTGACTGGATTGACGGGGGTGACTGGATTGATGGGGGTGACTGGATTGATGGGGGTGACTGGATTGACCGCATTTTCGATGCCTACAATAGACTGGACGAAGGCCTGTTCCTCAGCGTCAAGGATGCTCACCAGATGACCTCCTGATACGACACAGAAGGCCTCAGCGACATCGTGTGCCAGTTTGGGAGTTTCAACCAACTTGTAGCAGAATGGTGGTTGCGCCGGACTCCGAGTCCATCCGTCTGGACAGCCTGTATCTGTCACGGTAAATACAATTATACGATAATCAAAAGTTTAATGTACTTACAACTGTTGTTATTTTAATATTGGGACAGATAAAACGTTTTTGTAACATTTATCTGTTGCAGCGTCATACATAAAAGCACATAAAGGCGTCCTCGACCATCACTTCTTTCTGATTGCTTCGTTTATATATCGGAGCTTGCAATACAGTATACTGAACTAGCACATTCTTAGTATGCAGTTAGGGTTTGCTATTTGCTTGTTATATGCCATTTGAAGACAGTAAAAAAAGAGGACCTACCAATAACTGGGGGCTGATACGGTGTCCCTGATGCTGGCACACGTGGCCCCGGTTCCACCAGTGTGGCCGCCGTGATGTGCTTCCCCTCTGACCAGTTCGGTGGCAAACTTGCCAGATACTCATCAATTACTGAAATGTGGATCAGTATATATATATATATATATATATATATATNTAAAACAATGCTCGTTTCGCTAAAATAGGCCTTTTGATCTTGTTTAACACATGCTAGACACATTCGGATTAATGTGCACTATTTCATACACGTTGGTAATTTAGCGTGCATGCAAAACTCGAATTTTATAAAAATATCCATAAGATAATTGCCTACCTATTTCGCAAACGAATTGGAATTGCATTGTGCATTTTGTGTCAGTTAACTGCCCCAAATATAATGTCACGCAACTGGTGCTGTTCACCCATATCTTTGGAGATATACCTGAAAATATAGTAGGTCAGATGTCAGACTTGATCTCGGTTACCAAAGTCCACTTGAACTGCAATTGCAACGAGAGAAAGAGAGAGAGAGAGAGATGGGGGGGGGGGGGCATTTCTTACTGGCAATATGCGTATGACTGCCGATATATTGGTCCATGAATGAAAGCTCTGCTTGAGTTTCCAAATCTACCAGATTGCCGCCATCATTAGCACAGATCCCTCGAGCCATATCCCAAGTAAGTTCAGTCATATATAACTTGTAACAGGAAGACCTGTGTCGAAAGTTGTAACCCACGGGACAAGGTCGATAATTGTTCACACAGACTGGAACATTGTCGTCTACTAAGTGGGAATCAGGAAAGCACAGGCGCCTGTCATTCGGTCGCTTGCACATAAACCTCCCTTCCTCGTTGCAATTTAGCGGTTTCCACACCCCGTGTGCTTCCGAATCGTAAAATAATCCGGCACAGTTGTAAGCGACTTCTTCAGAAGCCATGTTCCGATATTTAACGCTGTTGCCGTCAGTCCAGTGAGATTGTCCGTCAAGGCCGATGTGAAACCATTCATCAGTAGTTGGCGAACTAATGACATAGATAAAGATACACATTAGTGGACATGACTTTTTAAAGGATTGGTCAGCATAAGTATTAAATACGCTACACTCTAAAAGTCAAAGTGGCACAGAACTGTTTGACTGTGTGTGTGTGTGTGTGTGTGTTTGTGTCTGTGTGTGTTTGTGTCTGTGTGTGTGTGTGAGAGAGAGAGAGAGAGAGAGAGAGAGAGAGAGAAATATGGCGGGTCCAGGGGTTACAGAACGCCACGCCTGAGGTACCCCTGCTCCCACTTTTCCCTCTAAAAAATAACACGCAACAAAACAAAACAAAACTAAGCAAGTGTTTGCACCCTTATTCCCACAGTCATATTGCCCTTGTTGGTATACAGTTTTACATTTGTCGACCGAAGCAAGGTAAACAAGGTAAACTAGTAATACTATATACCTAGGAAAATCTGGCTTCTGGATATCGTCTCCAGAATAGTTAGGTATCTCGAATACTGGACTGACGGGAGTGACTGGAAAGTAGTGACCGACGCGTTTGATCGGATTCTCGATGCCTACAATAGACTGGACGAAGGCCTGTTCCTCAGCGTCAAGGATGCTCACCAAATGACCTCCAGATACAACACAGAAGGCCTCAGCGACATCGTGTGCCAGTTTGGGAGTTTCAAACAACTTGTAACAGAATGGTGGTTGCGCTGGACTCCGGGTCCATCCGTCTGGACAGCCTGTATCTGTCACAGTAAATACAATTATACGATTATCAAAAGTTAAATTCTACTTACACCTGTTGTTATCTAATATTGGAATGGATAAAACGTTTTTGTAACATTTAATCTGTCGCAGCGTCATACATAAAAGCACATTCAGGCGTCCTCGCCCATCACTTCTCTCTGATGATTCGTTTATATATCGGAGCTTGCAATACAGTGTACTGAACTAGCACATTCTTAGTATGCAGTTACGGTTTGCAATTTGCTTGTTATATGCCAGTTGAAGACAGCAAGAAAAGAGGTCCTACCAATAACTGGACGCTGGTACGGTGTCCCTGAGGCTGGCACACGTGGCCTCGGTTCCACCAGTGTGGCCGCAGTGATGTGCTTCCCCTCTGACCAGTTCGGTGGCAAACTTGCCAGATACTCATCAATTACTGAAATGTGGATGTGTATTAGATATATATATCAATACAGAAAATAAAAATTATTTGAAATTGTTGGTATTTCAATGTGGACCCTTTCTGTGCAATGTGTGGGTAAAATAGTTAATCGCTGATAACTTGAAAGCGCTAAAGTTTTGAACTGGCAGAGAAATAATTTGCTTTACTCGCCGACTTAACTTGACCAAAAAAATAAACAAATGAGTCGAAGATGCCGGTCTTAGAACAGCCACAAATCTAAAGTATATATATATATATATATATATATATATATATATATATATATATATAAAGAAAAAATTTACTCCACCTTTACGCACTGATTTTTTATAACAAAGGTCGACTTTCTTTTCAAATATACATAAAGGTGTGTGAACAAAGTTAATAAAATCACAATTTTATGGGTAAGGTAATGTGATCAATGTGTTTTGTTTCTAAAACATCTTTAAAGAGGCCCTGCTGAGAATCCCGATACGATACGGGTACTCTTTAGGGGTTACAGGATGGCATTTTCTCTAAGGTCCGCTTGTCGTGAAAGAGTCAAAGAAAGGGGATGCTTCTCACTTACGTATGCAAGGAGGAAGTGTTTCCAAAAAGTTGCCCTTATCACAGATTAGTACTTTCTTTTTCGTTCCATCTGGAAATATGTGGCCCCTTTTGCATTCCACTGTGGCGTTGTTGGAGAACGGATCGTAGTACGCGTAGGCTTGTGTTTGAACGCCATCTATTGGGCAACTATCGACTAGGCACCCTACATGAAATATGCAAAGGAAATGCGACCTTTAATTTAATTCATTTTTACATATCTAAAAAAATGAATTTTATAATAGAGGTACATGATAGACAAAAACTTAGAGCAATGATTGCCTTCGACTGCTCAGGTATAGTATAAATCGCTCAGTATGTAAAGTTTTATTATCAAGATAATTTTTACTTTTCATCGTAACAGATAATGCCAATTATTTACTATATAAACTTGTTTTCATAACACAAAACATTTTAACACCTAGCCTTATGATCAACTTTATGTCACAGGTACCAGTATATAACAATAAACCAAACACCTTGCATCCACAGCAGACTTAAAACTTACACGCCCACCCCGACACGCACGCCCACAATATTAAGGACGCACGCAGGTATGCGCACACACACCTAACACCACCAGCGCCCTATTTTCCAATCACACTTTGATGGAGCGAGACCCAGTTTCTCCCACCTTTTGGTACAGGGTAGCTGCTACTTCTCATACACACAAAATTATGGCCCGTTACCGGCCCGATGCAAGAATAGTTGCCGGCCACAAAGTCCTCCGTTCTTCTGTAGGGCTCTACGTATGCCGTCAATGCCGAACAGCCTAACCTGGACGACGTGAACGCGAGGGTAGGTCTCTCCATCAGGGTTGAATCCGACCAGACGGGGGCACTGCCGTTTTTACTGTAGGCGCCTAACCATACCCGCTTGTTGGATGAAAGTCCTATGGTCGAAGCTTCTCTAAAATCAACAATTGTTATCAAATACAGGGGTAGTATATACTAAGAAAAAATACATATATAATAGTTTAACTTAGCTGTCCAAGACAAACTAATTGTCTGTGTTCTATACGTGAAAACGTGTGTAACTTTTTTGTTTTTCATTATTATGCAATAGGTTTACGAGTCAGGAAAAGCTCTTTCCCCCAAGGATCTTTATATTTTTTTACTAAATTCTATGTCGTGGATAGATATTAGAGTACACTTAATTTGTACCAGTAGTGAAGCGTGAAGATGCCAAAAGGCCAGTAACACATACACTGACTTTTCATTGAAACTTCACACATAGTAAGAACGACTTATAGATCTTATTGACTTTAATTGTATCCATTGTAGTCACGTTAGTAAACGCACATCAATTACCTGTCCTCTGAAAGATTGCAGTGAAAGGATGTCGACCTTATTTGAAAATAAAACACGTCATTACAACAGATACAGACAAGCTTGTTCTAAAAGTGAAAACTAATCCATATAACCATTACCTGTTCAGTATCGTTCCCAACACGTGGTCATCCGTTGGATTTTTAGGCATGAACAGCCGTCCGCACATCTTGGCACACCGGTACACCGCCTGGTCCCAGCTTTCGGCCATAGACCGGGACACACACACCTCACCGTAACCTGGCAACACCTCAAAGTTGGGACAGATACCTGAAATATAGACACTGAGCAAAAGTATAAATGTCACGTGTGAATTATTTATATTACATATAATGGGCTACGGAATCTGTAATCTGTATAGCTACGGACAGTACGGACAGTAATCTGTATAGTTACGGACAGTACGGACAGTAGGCTAATCTGTATAGCTACGGACAGTACGGACAATAATCTGTAGCACATTGAACAACAAAAGTCCCTTTTTATGATTTAATATATAAATAACTCACAATGTTGATAGTTTTAAAAAGTATTGCGTGGGGCGTTTACATTTTTTGTTCAGTGTGTAGTACAGTGTAAACATATAGGGGTACTATATAAATATTCATCGCATAATCTGCATCATCATATTTTACTCGAATTTGGAAACAATATCATAAGCTGGTTTGCAATTGAACTTTTTAAATAAATGAATTGTAAAAACTACCTTTATCATTTTATTTAATTATGACACCCTTTCTAAAATAATCAATGAATTAAAAGCCATCTATTACCTAGAAGCTAGTTAGAAAATTATTACATCACTTGATGACGAAAAGGTATAATCAAAAGGACAGTGTTTGACGAATAAACTGTCTTTTCGTCCTCGGTACATATACATTTGTGCGCTGTTGAATAGTTTGCTACGTATTTTCAAATAAGCAAATAGGTTTTTATTTGTCAACTGCGGTTAATTTTTTCCGTGCCTAAATAAATGAGACTACTTGTTTAATCCCAATATTTTTAATTTCATCTACTTAAATGAAAGGCAAAATATTGATTTAAATGGATGATCATGCAATTTGTGTCAAGTAAAAGACTTGTTAAAACTCCTCGAACGTTTCATTTGACGTTTTCTCTGAACATTCTCCGAATTTCAGGCTTTATTAATCACTTTAAATCAGTCCATCAAGTAAATAAGTACCAGTTCTTTTTTATTTTATGTAAAAACATCACAACAGTATGCCATAGTTGTGTTTTTGATAATTTGTCATTCTTTATATAGATGGCTGAATTTGATCGACGGGTTGACGCGAGCATTATCCCTTTCCCAACAGAACAATACAGTACGGAACATTAAATTCAGTTTGTTATGAAAATACACTCGTCTGTTTTATTTTTCATTTTAATTATTTATTTTGTCGGCTAGCTTTCTTCTTATAAATATGTGATACATCTACTGTCCAGATTAAAGTTTTATTTATTATGCAAATTAACGATGGATTTCTGTTTCAGTAAAAAAACGTGACCCACAACCGACATGGTAATCACAGCTGTGAGATAAAAGGGCTCATGTTCACCGCTGTTACGGTGTGTGGTTGTTCGCACGGCAAGTATAGAAAGGAAAGTACAAAAACCAACGTTACCTCCCATCCCCGTGGCACACGTCGTCGCAGACAGGACGGCAAACGCCGCCACTGCAGTTATGATATTGAATTCCCTCATATTCATACTCCTACCGGCGGTCTCCGCAGTATTGGTCAGCACCACTGTCTTCCCCAGCGCACGGGTTTCGTCTCACTGAGGGTAAAAGGCACGACGGTCTCATTTGACGACCACACCGTGAAGACTGGCATGTGTTGAAGTGACACCTGATCGACAATGACCATGTGACCAATGCCAGTCCAAGGAGAGATGACAAGATCTCCCTGCTTGACAGCCTTCAGAAATTCTTGGAAATTGGAAGGTCAAGACCATGTCACTGTGACCTCCAAACAAATATATGAGCATAATAAGAAGATAAAAAGGCTTTCTTTTGCTTAATTTATAAATTTTAGAGAGAGAGAAAGAGAGAGAGAGAGAGAGAGAGAGAGAGAGAGAGAGAGAGAGAGAGAGAGAGTTAAAACTGTAAAGACTTAACGAAAAATAAAAAGGTTTCTAAATACAAAAAAGAACAAGCTGAAGAATTCAATCAAATCTCTTCTTTATTTTTCTTTGTTTGCATTGTTTTTGGCACCTTTTATCATTTATCTGCAAGCTAGTGTCAAAAATGTCGTATCCTGTTTTATTTTTTTCCCTCTCGCATATAACTGTATCCTATGTTCGAATAAAGTAACCACACAATTATAAGGATTCCAAGTTTTATCATTTATTCCACCTTATCAGAGCCTAGGACACATGAAATTGCGGGTCCTTCTCCGTGCTAATAGCCTCCTCTATTCATAGGGTTGTCATTATTTTCAACAAAAGACGTTTCTTTTTTCAGTTGAATAACGTAGTCTACATATCGACAGACAAATACCCTAAGGCGATATTTTCCAGACAAATGTTAAGATTTGCTATCAATGATGAGTAACGTAGTCATTATAATTCAACATTAAGACGTTTCTTTTTTCAGTTGAGTAACGTAGTCTAAATGTTGCCAGATAAATACCCAAAGGCGATTTTTCCTGACCGATGTTAAGATTTATCAAAACAAAAATCTGTTGCAGACATGCTAACGACCCAGACAGTTGACACTACATTGCATACATGATAAAAGCAGTCATTACTGCCCCAAAATTATGGTCCTAAAGTCGATAATATACACTGAGATAACTATTTTATCATGTGAAGATGATATAATACATTTTTTCGACCTGTTGCAATACTGTAATAAACTAAAGAATAGTCCCTACATGTACAAGTTTTTTGATAAAGCAATAAGCGTTTTTTTTTCTCTTGACACAACCGCGAAGAGGAAATAGCCTTAAAAGCGGCTCTACTATCAATCATCAGCAAGTGGGTGGAACAGTGTGTGTGTGTGTGTGTGTGTGTGTGTGTGTGTTCAGTGTCAGAGAAAAGCACGCTGTATTTCTAATATGTTCATCTATTTGACGATGCGAAAGTTTGTTTAAATAAATAAATACATAACTACTAAATAATAACTAAAATAGGAACCAACCACCCCTAACAGTCTTTAAAAATGGAAGGAGGGCCTCAATTATCTTGAAAAAAATCCCCCCCCCCCCCCTCCTCTACACTGCACTTCTCTGGGTACACTATATGCGAACATATAATGGACAAGCCTTAGAAAATAAAAACGAATAAAAGAACATAGCTTCATTTTAAAGTTCGTCCTTAACATTTGAAGAAACAGTCAATTCATATCTGTAAATTTCCTTCAGTCCCCTAGCGAACCCTTCTTTTTCATCTAGGGCGATGTCCTGGAGCATGCCGTTAATCAGGTCCTCGCGGGGGGCGTACCTGGCCCACCCCATTGCCTCTTCGTAGAATTTCACCGTCTCCGCGACGGCGCGTTTCCATGGCGTCGGTTTCCATCGCAACAGATCTAATGCTTTGGAGATATTTATAGCACCTTTTGTCACGGACGGATATAAATATTGAGACGAGCCTGCTAGATATGTTAGATTGCCTAATCCCAGTTCAATCGATATATCATTCAGTACAATTGGCAGAGTTAATTTTTCTTTAAATGCTAGGTTGAAAACTTGGTCAGTCACACCGCTCTGGTCTTTCATGTTTATTATGTCGACGATGAGGCTTGCAACATCCTCGGAATACACCATGCTTATTGGAATAGCAAGGAGAAAATCAGGAACGGCTACTAGCTTGTTAATGTATTGCCCTGCCAGCCTTATCCACATCTGATACGTCCACCATCTGTGCGTGTTATCCCGGGGGCCCATGACGTCAGGAAGGCGGAAAATAATAGACGGGAACCCCCCGTTCTCACGCGCGCTTATCAGCTGTTCCTCGCACTGCAGTTTTTGATAACCGTACGAGTCCTTGTGTTCGACATTTTCAGGTCGAAAGCATTCCATTTCTTTTGTCGGGTTGTTGTGGAACTTTGGGCAGACGTCATAGACCGAGTCTGTGCTGATGTAGATGTATAATTTGACTTTATCCTGTAATATTTTCAGGGCTTGATCTACGGCGTAAGGGACGTAGGCACTGAAGTCGATCACGGCCTCGAACTGCTGTACACTTTTCACAAACCCTCCAAATCCCGTGCAAAGGCCCAGGGGTTCTTCTCTGTTGCACGCAAAATGTCTTACGTACGGCCGTATCGTTACAGTGGAATCCCAATACCATGTCCCTCTGTTTACTATTGTGATATCATAAAAATCGCCATATCGTTGTAGCAACCTCCCAACTGTGGCTGAGCCCATGAAGCCATTTCCGCCGAACACCAAGACGTGTTTCTTTGGATTAGAGCTGGAATCTCCCTCGACGTCGCCCCCAACGCTTTGTGGCGTTACGTCGCTTTCTTCCTGGCAACGGACGTCGCATATGTGCAGCACGATGAGAAATATGACAGCCACAAAGACGAGGTAACCGGCTTTCCACATCGCACTACAGTTAGTTGTCTATTTCGAGTTTGACCCAATTTTGAAAGTGCCGGAGGTATCGGATTACTGCCACGCACAATAACAAGTTTTCAAGGCTTTCCCCGTTTCAATTAGTTTATACAGTTTACAAATCCCTTTGTGTGTGCTTTTCGTCCTACAGTATCCGCCAGTTAAGTTTTACTGCATCAATCAGTTTAACTGTACTGTTTATTATTGCAGTGCGTATTTTCAATATCCAATAAAAGCCTGTAGTATACTTTTCATAAAATCAGACCAGCGTGCCTACGTGACTTTTTGGAGCAATTTTTCTCCACGTCAGCCGTGTTCCAGTGTGCCCTTCTAAGTGAAGTCACAGCTCTGTAATTTCATAATCGAAGATATACGCAGCAGAAAGCTCAAACGGTTAATTATTTTCGACCTAAATTGTATATCAGATGACTTGCTTTAAACCCGGGGCGTCCCTTATAATTAGCGCACATATGCAAAACGGGACCTGTCCGACGGGACGTACACTCTCTTTATCAAGTTCTGGTTCAGTTTGGTGATATCTGAAATGTTCGACAAAGTAGGCGTATAACATTTTTGGCAACTTCATCCGCAAGAAAAGGTTGTTTAATTATGATCACCAGAAGTTGTAGAAAGAAGAGTTTCAAGGTCATATGCGGTGAATCATGTCATTTACTGTAACAGTGTAATTTTGTTAAAATGGATCGAAGTCAATTAATTGGTGAGTGAAAAAATTCTTGATCTTAGTCTTATAATAAAATCGAGAATAATTTTGCTCGTAGTGAATATCAGTTATTACAGAGAATATCATTGTCATAAAGTTTTTATTTATTTATTTTGCAAATTGAAAAGCTATCAAAAGCGACCAAATGAAACACCTTTGATAGTCTGGATTCCCATTAACATGTAAATTAAGTCTACTTAACGGGCTCTGGATGTCATAGTTCTTATTTGAATGGCCGTCACCATATTAGATTTTGTAATTATATAAAGATTCTGCAAGATTAATTTAATTATTTTTACGGTCCTCTGCTTGGTAAAATTAACTTCAGAGTAACTTGACAATATGTGCGTCATGAATTCCCATTCAGTCTGTCATTATCATCCATTTTAAACCTTTTTTTAAAGGTGTTTCATTTGTCCTGCAAACAAAATCTAGTTTCTCTTTGAAGCATACAGGATTGCAGATGTATAACCAATCTTCGAAGCGACTCTACCTAGTCACTGCAGTCACAGTTGAAGTGAACCTCTGTGTGTAGAAACTTTTTCTAGTCCCCCAGTGAGTCGCATTTAAACATGTACCCTCTCTATATGTTAACTATCTCCCCCTGCCCCCCTTCACCCCCCCCCCCCCATTTATTTACGTCCAGGACCCACGTACAAGTGCATTACGACCGTGCTCGTTTAAGGAAATCGCATCCCCTTATACACAGATCATGTTTTTATCTGTTCAACCAGACAAACAGGTACATGTTTACTTTTTACGATGCGTATATTATTCACTCGGATGGCGTGTTAGGGCCAGAATGGGTTTGACACGCCAGTGGCTCAGTAACGCAACTAAAACAACTACATTAAGCAGCAGGATGTAAGTTTAAAGATCGTCTCAACTACCGCAACGTGTAATTCCGGGAGCATTGCAGTTCTCTAAATTAGAATTTTTTTACTGGACTTTAATAATAATAACAATAATATTTATAAACGCGCTCCACATATTGGTTTGTGTATAATATGATGATGAACTTAAAATTCAAAAACATTACAACTTTAATAATTACACCTATGCCCGTTTCTAAGGAAGAAATTTCGAAGCATAAAGCAGTTTTTGAATGATAAATCCATTTACTATTCGTCTTGAGGTGCTTTAAATCCATAGATTTCTGCCAATCCCCTGTAAAACGCCTCTTTGTCGTTCTTCGCTACCTCTCTTAGCATGGTCTCGATGAAGTCTTGTCGCGTGGCAAAAGAATCGTCTCGCATGGCATTTTCATAAAATGTCACGATATCGGCGAGTGCTTCCCTCCAAGGAGTTGGGCGAAAAGCAAGCAATTTCTTAGCTTTGGATATATCCACCGGGCCCCTGTGTACTGAAGGGAATACATACGTGGAAGACGGTGTTTCGTCCAAAGTCGCAAGCTCTCCGTATCCTAGATTAGTCATGTATTTATTCAGGATACGCTCCACACCCGGTAAGGCTCCCTCGGGAGATTTTTCAGCCACGATTTCATACGGCTTATCCCCCAACCCAAGCTCAAGGGATATGTCCCGCAGTAGGGTCGGTAGTGTCATATTTACATCGGACGCTAGATTGAACGCTTGGTCTATAATTTGGTCGCGTGGTATTTTCATGTTGATTATGTCGGCGACCACTTTCCCAACGTCTTCGGAATAGACCAAACTGATTTGTCGCGTATGAAGAAAGTCGGGCACGGTAACGGGGCGGGAAATATACTCTCCCAGTCGAATCCAAAGCTGATACACCCACCACCGGTAGGTATTCTCACCTAAGCCTATCACATCAGGAAGACGAAGGAAAATATACGGAATTCCCGGACCGTCTGTCGAGGATCTCTGCTTCACTAGTTCTTCTTCGCACTGCAATTTTCGATTGCCATAATCGTCTGCTTCGGCTAGACGCTTGGCTTCGTCTTCAGCCTCGGGTCGGACGGCGTCTGTCTCCCTCGAGGGGCCGTCGTGCTCCTTCACAGCGGAGACCTCGTAAACAGAATCGGAGGAAATGTAGATGTATAATTTAGCCTTTCCTTTCAGCAAACTGACTGCGTTTTCAATCTGACGGGGACGGCAAGCGCTAAAATCGATCACAGCGTCGAGTGATTTCACTTGGGAGAGATATTCCATAAAGCGAGGGCAGTCCTCCAAAGGCCGTGTCCTATCCCATTCTATGTGTCTGACGTGCGGTTTAACAGATGTTGCCGTGTCCCAATACCAGTTTCCCCTATTTACAATGGTGATATCAGGCAACGCCCCACCATCCACAGCCTTACCCAGTATACAACGGACAGCAGCTGCACCTAGACAGCCGTTTCCACCAAACGCTAGCACAGTGCGTCTCGTTTCTTGCATCTTTGACGTATTATTGTCAGAAGTCTTAGGACACAGTGTGATTGTCAGTACTGATAGAGTGACTAAACACGACGTTTTCTGCGCACCCTTGGTCTACGCTGCGGGTCGTTTTCTATTGGTTCAATATAAAATATGTGTGCCAAGGTGGTGTCCAGGCTGTAAATTATAGTTCTGTTATAATAGGCTATTGTACTACGGGTGAAGTGCACGGAAGCATGTCAGCTAGTCTCAAACCTTATAATATAAATGCTCTAAATAAACGCGGGTCAAGTCACGTTTACTCGTGAAAAGCAGATCCGGGTTCACCTGTGGTTAGAATCTACCGTCACGCCCCTGTGATTCATTTGTTCCCCGGTCGGACGTCAGTCTCGCACGAAGTCATGGGGGACTCTGTGTCACGTTACACCGGTCCACGGTTGTGCCGGGAAGTCCAGTGTAAAACTGGCACAACTGCCCCATGTGTATATTTACCGGTCAAACACAGTGAACACGAGTTCTCAAATGTTGTTCCGAAAAATTTCTTGCGCTAACATAGGTCTTGATAGGTCTTATCAAATCTATGCACTTTTGACACACAAGTCTGACTCGATATGAATAAATAAATCTTTTAATTTCTCTTAACTTGACCCCAGAGAAATACGTAAAGTGTCATGAGCGTGTATCATACTTTTATTTTAAAGGGATGACAACCCTTCATTTGAGACCTTCATAGAGGGCTACCTTCCGAAATATATGTAGCCTTTAAGTCTGTAATAATCCCACAGTGCTGTTTTGTAATAATCACTTAAAAGATTTTCACAAAATAAAAAGCGCGCTTAAAAATTAGTTTAATATTGAATGTCGGAACAGAATCATTAACCATTGTTAAGTATGGGTAAGTCGTCATTTACCACAGGAAAAGCCGTTATATGGTATTTTTCCGCAAATTTTTTAATCGCATTTTCACCAAGTGGTTAACCTTTAAAATGAAATATGAACTGCCTGGAAATGAACATTACACGTACATATATGTGTTTTAAGGCACCGCACGTTTTCAGGAAAACTTACAGCTACATAAGCAAACATTTACTGAAAGATAAATAAACAGATAAATGAGTCACTTTTGAATGGCCTTCGAGAGTTCAGGAACTAGGCAACATTTTATGGGCACATTCGGGGCGAATAGAGCCAATATATGTAGTTGCTCTGTGTTAATATTATTTTGAGTGTATTTTACGTTTCTACATACCAAAAGAGACGAAATATCTCACTGTACTTTCAACTTGGGAGTTCATCCACATGGATATATTGTGTGGATTGTCTTAGGTCGCACTCACGACCAAAGTTATTCCGCCAACTAACAGATCAAATCTGGCCGATCAAATATGGCCGACCCACTTGAAAGCTTACCGCGTGTTCCCCGTAGGGAATCTATTTAGTTTCTATTCTCGGAATGATACGTCCAGTTTTCTACCATATTTGATCTGCGGATCAACTTGTTCATAGCCTAATGTGCACTTATTTGGCTTTTATTTTCCCCATTGAGTTTTGAGAAATAAATTTCTTTACAGTCTAGCAGAGAATACCAAAATATTAAAAATTCTGTTCCATGCGTGTATTTGAAATATTCTATTTTAATGAAAAATGATGATAAAATAAACACAGTTAACCTTCAAATTCAAAACTCGTCAGCCTGAATATAGTAGAAAGACCTGCATTTTATAACCCTAAATGCAATACCCCATTTACAATCTAACAGAGGTAAATCATCACATTTCTCTCAAGAACTTTAACCTTAATTAAAAGTAAATAAAGTTATGTAAGATTTTCTTAACCTTTTACTTCACTTGCTTACAGTCCTGTTTGCATCTGATATATGTCACAATAATGGTAAAAAGTAAATTTATAATTTTTACAACTGACAAACATTATCATTATTTTACAAATGTGAAAAAACTTAAAAGAAATGACAATGAAACATATAATTATGATATTGTTATAACAAAGTGACCTGTGCAGATCAACAACTTTTGACCCCTTGAACATTTCTCATTACATTCCAAATAACAAAAATGCTAATATACATAATCAAAAGCAACATCAAGGTGTGAAAATATGAAACAAACTAATTTTAACATGTTTTTGAAAAATTGTAAATCCTAGGACTTTGTTGAATAATAATTTTACATAAAAATAATAACCGCTCATCCATGTCTGATAGGAAAATGAAGGACATTCTGGAAATAATACTCCAGTTGAAATACAATGGCTGTCACATCTTACTTCTAATTAGTTTTTAGTCAGTGGTGAACACTGAATTACCTAAAAAATAACACTTTTTTGAGGGCAAATGCTCTTTCTAATATATCCACAGTCATGCATATTTTCAATCATACATTTATATCATAAAATGCATTCACACTCTACAAAAAGTCTCTCTAATCTTTTATAATAAATCTTACTTCTGTGTTGCATTTACTGCTTCTTTTCAATGTGACTATCAACAGTTTAATCTCTTATTATGATATTTACACAGCAAAAATTACCAAGTATACTTTGCCAAAGGTCACTATAACAATGGTATTATCAAACATTATGGTGTCCCTAATATTGTCAATGATTGCTGTGACCCTGGTATTGCCAATCAATATGGTGACTGTGACACGGGTAATCATATTTCATATTTCTTGAAGTGATACAAAATTAAGACTTGTGTGTTCCAATCCACTGTTTTCTTAGACATAGCTTGGTTCCACTTCTTCACTGCCTTCATTTCTTAGACTTCTTGGATCTGCTGAAGGGTAGTCATGTGAAAATGTTTCGACAAAAATGGCCCACTTTAAGAATTTTTTTCTTATTCTTTGACTACTTTCTATTAAGACAATATGAATCACATTCCACATACTTTATGTTCTGTTACAAATCACTTATTTTTAAATTTATCACTTTATACAATGTATCACTTGCATCAAATGATCACTGGCAAATACAAATCAAGTTTTCTTAAAATCTATGTCTGAATCTTCACTTCTATTTGAAGGTGTCAAAAGGATACTGCTTTTCTGCCTTCTTTTCACTTTTATCCTTTGGTGTCTTTTCCTGCAAATAAATGAGGCAAATTACTAACTAACAAACAAACATCCCTTTTCTATTATCTACTGATAATAACTTTATATCTTCACACATTTATGCATAGGCACAAGATCCCGTAATCAATCTTCAAGTAAATGTTGAGTTTATATCTTCAATGCAAAACTCACAGAAGCAGTACAGGGGATAGGACATGGAATTAGGAATAACCAAAATATCAAAATGTCACTCTGCCTGAAACTCACAGATTTCCCTCCATCTTCTCTTCCTGATCCCTTTGGAGATTTATGCCTCTCTTTTTCCCTGTGTTCTCTCTTTTCCTTAGTGACTGATACAGCATCCCCTGATCCGTTCTGTTTGGAACCAGACTTGACTGAAAATAAATAGAATTTTTGTCCATTAAATGATTTATCAAATCAAATACATTTTATCTTTCATCTAAGGGACTGGAGTCATTTTTTTTTATTGCTGATAACCTATCTTTCACCAAAGAGATGATATCAAATCATTGCTTTACAAAAGAAGAAAACCAAAGAAAAAATTAAAGAAATTAAATAAAAAAAGTTTAAATAAAAGAAATAAACATTACATAAAATGATCCACAACTTTTTAAATACAATTTAAGAATTTTTTTTATTTTTCTGTTATTATTGTCATTATTTCAATATGACTGAATGTGATTGGACTTGGTGAATGAATTGGTTGATGGGAGAGAGGGCGGGGTCCTGTCTGTTACCCCTTCCAACTGTTAGCTAATGCTGAAGCTCTATATAATCAGTAGTCTGAGTAATGACAACATTCTGGCCCTAAACATTTGCCTGCAAAAAGGTAGTATTACTTCTATTTTTCATCACAGTTAACAGGGCCTATTAACCTTCACATTACTGCAGAGTTTTGCTCTTTACCTTCATAACAAAGGAAAATAATTCATTCATTCTTTTTTTATTTAGAATATATTATTATGTAAATGAACCCTTATGACAATCCTTTTATTCTCTAACATATCTACCTTCATATTACCTTCCATTCTTTTACGCAAAAAATTATTGATTCGAAATATACTGTTATGTAAATGAACCCTTATGACAACCCATGTATTCTTTCACAATTGTCAGGGTTTTTATTTGATTTTTGCCTGCATATCACAGGCAACTAAGCAATTATAACATACAGACTAAGTATGTCTTTATTATTCAACACACTTATACAACCAAATCAAGCAACTTGTGGCTAAGCCACAGCACTAAAATGTGTATTATTAAAATTCACCAGGCTGACCTCTAATTTCACACATTCACCAAAGCCAACACCAGTGGCCTGTTTACACAAAAACTTGAGACTGCAAGTTGATGTAAAGCTTTAACCCAAGATAAATCAGTAGTAGTCCAATTTAATAAAACAAGATGTATACTGCTTCAAAAAGACAAAAACTATAATATTTTAGCAGGCTAGGGCACAAATTTCCTTTTATAACTTTAAAGGTAGAACAAAATTTTGGTCTAAAAGTCCAAACCAACTTTCGGTCTGACACCAGCTTAAAGGGGTGTGATCCAGATTTTTAACATTAGAGCCTGGGAACATACCAATCAGTGTACTATACATGGAAAAGAACTAGTTTGTTAGTTAGAAAAAATTTCGAATCAAAATATCTCACCTGTAGGAGAGTCCTGCTCACCCCTCTTCTTCTTGCTGTCCAACCTGTCTTCACTGTCATCTGGGGAGTAATCCATGGTCTGTGGACAGAAAACATGCCTTTACATCATAAATATTAAACTTAATAAACAAATAATAAGTTATCATTTTTATTATTTTCACTTTATAAAATATTATCTTATACTTTCTTATGCTATACACAATCTTTCATACTGTCACAATTACTCCTAAAACTGTTACAAGAAGAAGAATGACAAAGAGTTCCATTACAATGGCAAAAATTGGAAGTCATGCTGTACACTGTGGTTTTTAAGAGACATTTATTTAATAATCTGCTTACCCTTTTCCTTTCTGACTTTTTATCAGATTTTCTTCTCTCGCTGGGTGGACTCTAAACATAATGAAATTCAATTTTGCAATATTCTGTTGAAATGTTGTGGAAATATTATATATACCTCATGACATCTACAACAAGTGCATATACAACTCCCTCTTTTGAAAAAATCTTTCTTTCCAAATGTCAAATTGAACTGTAGTTGTTTCTTTTATAATTTACTATGATCATATTGTAATACTAGATTAGATTCATTCCAACTTTCTTACAAATATGTCCAACTGAAATTTTACAGGTCACGCCGTCCCTGTTTAAAAATGTGAACATCTCAGGTTTCTATTTCCTTTGTTTTCAAGTCTTATTCCTTTGTCAATAGATATAATAAACAAAATTGTCAAACAAATATCATATTTACATCAATGTGTGCACACAATGCACAAGACTCATCAAATTTTAATTATAATGCAATAAATTAATTGGAAGTGAGAAACCATGAACCCAACATGGAGATTCAGGGTCCTAACCTTGCTTCTGGATTTGTCCTTGCTGTCCGCGTAGCCTTGGTCCTGTAGAGGAAGAGGAAGGTCAACACCACATCATGGTATGAACACAGGTCAACACCACATCGTGGTTTGCACACAGGTCAACACCACATCGTGGTTTGAACACAGGTCAACACCACATCATGGTTTGAACACAGGTCAACACCACATCATGGTTTGAACTAAGTAGAGATGAAATACTTGACACTGACATCATCAAAATATCCATTATAACACACAGATGTTTAAGTTATGAATTTTGTCCAAGCCCATAAGACTCATGCACTGCCTCTATTTCATTGTAGAAGAATCAAATTGAGTCAAGGAGTCAAATTTATTTTTTCTTCTTTTGCCCAACTGCATCAAGTATTTCTCCCTTTTTCTGTTTAAGCTGAAACAAATACATCTATAACAAACAAGAGTTTTTCATGAATTAAAACTACACAGACTCTTGCCAAATCTTACAATCTTTCTCTATGAATAATTGATTGGCTTTGTTTTTGATAATCTGCTTCATCATCACAGTAACTATAATCAAATAATTAAAGTAAATAATTAAATAATATACTTACTGTCAAATGCAGGTTAATGCACAAAATCTTAAGCCTTTCTCATAAAATAATTTAAAAAGGCCTTAATTTTTAAACAAAATAAACACCTTATTATTTGAAGCAACAAATGAAGCTTATTACATAAATAAAGCACTACTGATACTGGACTCTTGAAGTTACTGTATATCTTGATCTGTACAGACAAAATGCATCAAATGTTTCAGAATGAACCAAAAGTACTAGTTTATAGAAAAGAGAGAAAAACACCTCATAATGAAGACTTAAGAATGAACTCAATATTATAAAAACATGTAAAAATCTACAATATCACTGCATTTCGACACAAAAATAACAATGGCACAGAGTTTAAAAAAATAAAAGTACTATGATGGTAGACATTTGGTAAAAACTAATCAGATCAATGAATTAAACTACTGCCAAACACAAATTACATTTGTGTGGAAACAGTATATAAATCAATATGTCATCACACTGCTTGACACTGTTGACTTTTAAAGCAAAAAGTTCTTTGGTACAAGATTCAATCACTGCATTGTTCCCGATGCACATACGAAGCATGATTTACACAAATATATATATATTTTTTTGCAAATAAATGCAACAAACACATACGAATGGATTCTCCCCTTTTGACATGTCATTTGAAATCAGCATTGTGATTTTTTAAACTAGGCATTGTACAGTCATAGCATGCACTTTTAGTTTTCCACTATGAATGCACATCAGAGGTTCCATGGCCTTTGTCATCATCTTTTTATTCTTTTTTTGGTCCTTGCTGCTGCTGCTGCTGTTGTTGCCATCATCCTCATCATCATAGTTGTCATCCACTGCACCCTGTATCTAGGCTAAAGCATGTCTACAAGTTGGCTAGAGCATGGCTACAAATTGGCTAAAGCATGGCTACAGGCAATACTGTATCCTTCTATGTAGAAACTATTTTCCCCAGGATCCAAGGACACGGCTGAACACCATATCTTTTTTTCCATACTGGATTACTGGCTTTCCCAGAGCCACATGGACATATCAAACCACTTGAAGATTTGTATGGCNTCTAACTTTAATAAAGGTAGAACAAAATTTTGGTCTAAAAGTCCAAACCAACTTTCGGTCTGACACCAGCTTAAAGGGGTGTGATCCAGATTTTTAACATTGAGCTTGGGAACATACCAATCAGTGTACTATACATGGAAAAGAACTAGTTTGTTAGTTCAAAAAAATTCAAATCAAAATATCTCACCTGTAGGAGAGTCCTGCTCACCCCTCTTCTTCTTGCTGTCAAACCTGTCTTCACTGTCATCTGGGGAGTAATCCATGGCCTGTGGACAGAAAACATGCCTTTACATCGTAAATATTAAACTTAATAAACAAATAATAAGTTATAATTTTTATTATTTTCACTTTATAAAATATTATCTTATACTTTTTTATGCTATACACAATCTTTTGTACTGTAACAATAACTCCTTAAACTGTTACAATAAGAAGAATGACAGAGTTCAGTTACAATGTACACTGAGGTTGGCGTATAAAATCAGATTGCACAGTAATTTTGCCATGTAATATATTGTTCTACATTGCATTGTGACACAGGTGTGCTTGGGAATGGTTTTATGGTTTTTAAGAGACATTTATTTAATAATCTGCTTACCCTTTTCCTTTCTGACTTTTTATCAGATTTTCTTCTCTCGCTGGGTGGACTCTAAACATAATGAAATTCAATTAAGAAAAACAATTTTGCAATATTCAGATGAAATGTTGTGGAAATATTATATATACCTCATGACATCTATAACAAGTGCATATACAACTCCCTCTTTTGAAAAAATCTTTCTTTCCAATCAAATTGAACTGTAGTTGTTTCTTTTATAATTTACTATGATCATATTGTAATACTACATTAGATTCATTCCAACTTTCTTACAAACATGTCAAACTGAAATTTTACAGGCCACCAATACCCCATTTAAAAATTTAAACATCTCTGGAATCTATTTCTTTTGTTTTCACGTCTTATTCCATTGTCAATAGATATACTGAACTAGAATGTCAAACAAATATCATATTTACATCAATGTGTGCACACAATGCACAAGATTCATCAAATTTTAATTATAATGCAATAAATTAATTGGAAGTGAGAAACCATGAACCCAACATGGAGATTCAGGGTCCTAACCTTGCTTCTGGATTTGTCCTTGCTGTCCGCATAGCCTTGGTCCTGTAGAGGAAGAGGAAGGTCAACACCACATCATGGTATGAACACAGGTCAACACCACATCATGGTTTGAACACAGGTCAACACCACATCGTGGTTTGAACACAGGTCAACACCACATCATGGTTTGAACACAGGTCAACACCACATCATGGTTTGAACTCAGTAGAGATGAAATACTTGACACTGACATCATCAAAATATCCATTATAACACACAGATGTTTAAGTTATGAATTTTGTCCAAGCCCATAAGACTCATGCACTGCCTCTATTTCATTGTAAAAGAATCAAATTGAGTCAAGGAGTCAAATTTATTTTTTCTTCTTTTGCCCAACTGCATCAAGTATTTCTCCCTTTTTCTGTTTAAGCTGAAACAAATACATCTATAACAAACAAGAGTTTTTCATGAATTAAAACTACACAGACTCTTGCCAAATTTTACAATCTTTCTCTATGAATAATTGATTGGCTTTGTTTTTGATAATCTGCTTCATCATCACAGTAACTATAATCAAATAATTAAAGTAAATAATTAAATAATATACTTACTGTCAAATGCAGGTTAATGCACAAAATCTTAAGCCTTTCTCATAAAATAATTTAAAAAGGCCTTAATTTTAAAACAAAACAAACACCTTATTATTTGAAGCAACAAATGAAGCTTATTACATAAATAAAGCACTACTGATACTGGACTCTTGAAGTTATTGTATATCTCGATCTGTACAGACAAAATGCATCAAATGTTTCAGAATGAACCAAAAGTACTAGTTTATAGAAAAGAAAGAAAAACACCTAATAATGAAGACTTAAGAATGAACTCAATATCATAAAAACATGTATAAATCTACAATATCACTGCATTTCCACACAAAAATAACAATGGCACAGAGTTTAAAAGAATAAAAGTACTATGATGGTAGACATTTGGTAAAAACTAATCAGATCAATGAATTTAACTACTGCCAAACACAAATTACATTTGTGTGGAAACAGTATATAAATCAATATGTCATCACACTGCTTGACCTGTTGACTTTTAAAGCAAAAAGTTCTTTGGTACAAGATTCAATCACTGCATTGTTCCCAATGCACATACGAAGCATGATTTACACAAATATATATATATTTTTTGCAAATAAATGCAACAAACACATACGAATGGATTCTCCTCTTTTGACATGTCATTTGAAATCAGCATTGTGATTTTTTAAACTAGGCATTGTACAGTCATAGCATGCACTTTTAGTTTTCCACTATGAATGCACATCAGAGGTTCCATGGCTTTTGTCATCATCTTTTTATTCTTTTTTTGGTCCTTGCTGCTGCTGCTGCTGTTGTTGCCATCATCCTCATCATCATAGTTGTCATCCACTGCACCCTGTATCTAGGCTAAAGCATGTCTACAAGTTGGCTAGAGCATGGCTACAAATTGGCTAAAGCATGGCTACAGGCAATACTGTATCCCTCTATGTAGAAACTATTTTCCCCAGGATCCAAGGACACGGCTGAACACCATATCTTTTTTTCCATACTGGATTACTGACTTTCCCAGAGCCACATGGACATATCAAACCACTTGAAGATTTGTATGGANGTAACCAAATTCAACATAAAAGTGGCAGACTTCAGAAAGCTATACACAACTGAAGGGTTTTTTAGATTGCTATCTACAAAACTGGAAATACCGAGTCAAGAAAATGTAAAATATTTCCTCAAGGCAAACAGTATGCCATCTCTTAAATAACTTAAGAAATTATTTCAAAATATGTTTGAGCTGCACTGGAACATGTCTGTCTGTAGTTTAATTTAGTTATGTGCCTTCAGAATCAACTAAAATATCTCATAATTATCTCACCCTTGTTCCTTTTTCTCTGAAGATTTACTGTCTGGTGTCTTCCCAGTGTCTGCTCTGGACTCAGACCTGTCAGAGCTCTGACTGTCACTTTTCTCCAGTCTTCTCTCCTCCCTGCTCCCTTCCCTCACCTCTCTCTCCCTGGACTCCTTGCTTCTCTCCTTCCCTGCATTATACAAACACTAACTATGAATACATGACAATTTTTCGTGCTTAAAAAGCACTCAGCATATACTCAAATGTGAGCTAATAACAGCAAATATGAATTTTTACAATGCATAAAATAGTCTTATTTGGTTCAGGTAAATAGAAGTTAGTTCCGAATACCTTTTTTTTTTATTTCCTAAAAATCATTTAACTAAAAACATCATCCTAGAGTGAGTTCAGTCTGATTCCATCTCAAGTTTTAAACAGAGATTTTTGAGTTGTAGATGGGCAATTCAAACATGGTCTTAGCTTACACTAAATCCTACTTATTAATCACAAACTTCAAATATCTTTTTAAAAAATATTACTAGTCTAAGAACTAACACCATCTAATTAAACATACCTTCTTGTTTCACATCCTTCTCTTCTTTGACTCTGCCAGAACTTGTTGTCTTGCCATTTTCTGAGGCTGTGGCTGCAGTCCCTGTACCGTTGGGTTCAGATTTCACTGGTGCTGACTGGCTGTTTGTCTTTACTGTGGTGCCTTGTTTGCTCTGTACACGCCGTGTCTGGAAGCATATCACGAACCATTCTTACTAGTCTCATAAAAAAGCATTCAAATTTCCACTCAATGACTGATATTTTTTCGTTAACTAAATAGCATATCAAGGTGATTTATTCCTTATGAACAGGGAGAACCTGTCAATTTACCTTTCCCAGTTTATTTTAAGAGCTTAAGAGTTTTTTTTTATCTGTACCGGAAACATGATGGTATGATTAATTTGCATTTACATTTGGCAAATAAATAATTCCTATATTATATATTATTAAATTAGCAAAAAAATAAACTTAACAAAACTCTTTTTACATTTTCTTTAATATGAAACTCTTGTTCTGGAATCCATGTGTTCTTTTTGCTCTTCAGCTGCCCGATGTAGCTGGAACAGAGGGCAAAAATATGATAACATCTACTATTATTCACAACACAATACCTGTCACAGTGATAATATAATAATGATGAATAAATCATGATAAAATATTCCATTGGTGCAACAGTAAATAAAACTGGTTCAGAAAATTCTCACGTAGTAATCAATCAACATAAAAGATGGCAGGATTCCAAAAATATATTCAGAAATATATCAGAGATTAACACTCAATTAACCTTAAAGAAAGCATGCAGCCCTGATGATTGTTGAACTCTGAAATTTCACGTTTCACATACACACACGCACATGCATACACACACAACAAGGTCACTGGTCCAAATTATCCCCAAATCAGGCAATTCTCACTAATCTGGACCCTTCAATTCTTACCCCATAGCTAAAGCATAGATGTCTGGTCTCTTCTCCTTCTCCTCCTGCCGTATCCTGTCCACCCTCCTCTCCAGAGCCTGCCCATAGTTCAGGACTTTGGGGTAGTATTGGAGAACCTACACAATCCATGGTCCATTAAATCATAGTATTAGGCTCTGTTCTCACAACTTTTAGATCGATCTATCACCGCGGGGAGTCTCACTAGATTACTGTCAGATAATCCGCCTTAAGTGTCCGTCCCCGCCTACTACAAGCTATAAGGGGTAATTAACTTTCGTGTCCGCCCGGCTGACAGCTATTTAGCGTGAACCCCCAGGGAGTTAGGTCGATCCAATGTAGGTCGATCTAATCTATGAGAATGGGGTGTAAGTGGCAGAGGAAACTTAATCAATGACAAATTGTGTAACAATGATGTAGTAGTAATAAGGTACATTTTTAAGATGTACAATGCATACGTGTACTTTTAAGAAAAAAAATACTTTTATACAGTAAGTTAAGGTTTCATTTTGGATTTCAAATTTATAAGTCTGCAAATATTTGATAGCAAAGAAATGCAAGTTAATAATAATAATAATAATACAGAGTGACCAAAAAAAAACGAGCCGATAAATTTTTTAATAAATCCTACAAGTCTATCAAATTTCAAGGAATTTGTTGTACTTAAACTTCAATATGTGTATGATCATTCCCCAAAGATCCAGTTATCCCTTATACCTCTGTAGGATTTATTAAAATTTTTATGGGTTCCGATTCTTTTGGCATTCATCTGAATTAATTTACAAATATGTTTATGGGATTATGTCAAACTTTACCTTAGTGAGCACAATGAGAGCATTCCTGATTTGTCCATAATCTCCTGATTCAAGACAAGCCACCATAGCCTAAAATTAGAAAAGAAAAAAAATATAATAAGAGACAGATCTAGTACCTTTTGGTAAAAAAAAATCATCTCACTCTCATGTTTTCTAATGGTGCAAAATAAGATTTTACAGTCTTAAAAACAATGTACTAAAATTACATTTCAGGGGGTAGTCTGTTGTGTAAGTATGCAATTAACGGGGTTTTAAATTCAGTCTTATTAATAATTCAGACGACCATGTTATCGGATGCCTCAGTGTGTGTGTACATGTGTGCACATGCATGACCTCACCTTGGTGGTTCTAAACTGCCATTTGTGACAGATATGCCTGTAGTTCTCATAGTCCAGCTGGCCATGTTGGTTGGTCTTGTTATTGGTGTCAGTCTTCCTGTACACTGTTACAAAACCTGGATGACTACCACACTCCTGGAAGTGACAGATAGAATAGAAGCTGAGAAAAGAATGAAAAATTAACAGATTGTCTTCAATTATTCAAAACTTTAATTTGGAAAGCAATTGCAAAAACCAGATCTCTAGTGTAGGTACAGTAGTCTATTGAATCATAATAGCAATTTGGGATTTTAAAAAAATATACGTTTTTAATCACAAACATTTACTTACTTCTGTTGCTGAAGAATGTCATTCTTGTTTCAGAATCTATTCAAAGAGGTAAAGTTTAAGCTTAATCTTTGGGAAAATGAATTTTAAGTAAATTACTATTGTTTCATCCCTGTACCTTTTCAAAGACAGCCTTGTCTGAGTGCCATCTCATGATAGTCTCAAATGCTGCACAGAGGAACCTGCCATATCTGTGGGCTTCATTCTCAGTACAGCAAGCCACGGTATACGTAATATCACAGTATATCTGTTATATGGAAGTACAAGTACAGAATATATCACATGTGTGAGCTAAATTCTCATTCAGAAGTGCACAGTATAAATAAACAAATCAGCATATATAGACAAATTCATTTCCTGTCAAAGCTAAGTAGATCAGATAAAATCAAATCATACTGTGCATAATCAAAAAGTCATAAGTAAAAAAAAACAAATTATAGCATACTACTGACACATACCCTGTCATAGCAGATAAGAGTGGAGAAATTTGGAGTCTTCAGCTCATGTAGGACCTCTATAAACTTTGCACAGTAGACTGCGTCACTGGCAGTGAAACAGCAGCGAGGAAAAATGCAAACTTGGAGGAACTGAGTGATTGTGTCATTTTTTGTGGAGCCTATAATATAAAGAGGATGAGCATGACCATTACTGAACTGAATCTGTATAAAAAAACAGATAATGAAGAAAAAAAACAATTAAATTAAATCTTTTTGTTTTCAGTTAAATCTATGTGCTTTGGATATACCTGAGAAATATAATTTTAAACTGTCAGAGAGGTTATCAAGATCATAGTCAGGCACTTTCATTCTCTCTCTCTCTCTCTCTCTCCACAAGGATAAATGTGTTCATCATAAGAAACATGTTCCACACAAATTGAGGAACTCAAAGTGATACATCTGCTGTTTTCTGTTCAAACAAAACATTAACATCAGTAAACAGATCCCACCAGGCGTACTGAGCACAGCCATTTAACGTCATGTAAAACTGGTCTAATAATTGCTTGTTTTCCATAACAAAATGATTGCCATGCTTGCTAAATGAGTCCCTGGTTAACTACATTAATTGTCAAGCACCTGTCTTCAAATATACCTTGGCTTCACATACTATTTGAAAAATGTTTACCTACAATTTATTTAAATCACCATTTTTTTTTTTTTTTTTTTTTTTTGCAAATCATACTAATGTACTTCAAATACAATTACAGAAAATGTGGTGTTACTCCAAAAGTAATATTTAAATAAACCACAGCTTAAAATTATACTCAATAACAAATTAGACAGACTCTGTAAATTATCAAATTCTGTAATATCATACTCATGTGGCTATCAAATTATAATATATCCAAACATCTTTAACCCTAATCAAATACTGGATATTCAAAACAACACTTTACGAGGTATACTTTAACGCCTTTCACAGGACATTAATCCTAGATTTACCAATAATGTGTTTTTAATCAACCAATACATTTTAAATGAGTCTTTCAAATATGCCATTGAAATGTGAATCTGACAAATTGAACCCAAGTCACACCTTTGGTAAGAAGATCATAAATTCATGACTTCAAATTCACTTTGCAAACAAATCAAACCTGATCTACTCACAATAAAGGACAAGGTTCTGTTTCACTATCAAACTGTATATATCTACAAATACAACACAGAGGGCAAGACTTGTGTCACATACCATTGTATAAATTCCTCAAAATTCAACACCTAAGTTTCTATCTAAGTCATTGTGCCAATAAACAAAGCCCTGGATTTAGAAGAACTAAAAGCTAGCTGTATAGGCAGTGAGGGAGGGATTTGGTCTCTTATTTAGACAGTGAATTACCAATAATAGCCAGCCCTGCCCTCTTGTTTACAGACCAAACGTCTCAAGTTGAACCTCACTCAACTTTAATGGCGAAACCATAATAATGAAGGGGAAACAGAGGCTACATAATTTACTCATTCTGGGGTGCTTTACATATGTAATTTCAATTCAGTGAAGTCAGATTTTCAGTTCTATGACATATATTACACGTTGCCAGGCTCATTCACCTTACAAAGCGTGACACGGAGCATCCGGCATGTGGCCTCTTGGCCCACCCCTTGGGATATAATTTCATTCAGACCATGTGTTTTAAATAACTTATAAAAGCTGAACCTCATCAAGTTTTTATCTGCTGTGAAGTGCCTCTTTACCATAACTCAAGATCTTAAAGCTCCACTGAGCTGTAACATGTAGCAGTGGATGAGAGGTTAAGAAGGAAAAATTAAGGTAAGATCTTAACTTGTTACCTGACTGTTTTTATCACATATATATTTTGCACTCTGACAAGTTTCCCTCAGCTATATACATAATTTTACTTGGCTTAAACACATTCAATCATTTGACTAATACATGGTTAAAATACATCAGAGATTTATATGTGTGAAGCCCAGCAGGTTTGCTTTGTGAAATAATTTTATTTAATTTGCAGAATTTAATTGGATATCCATCAATTCTGTCAAATACCTTCTCAGTATTTTCCACTCTGCTGCTTTTATTTTTGTATATATGTGTTCATGTTTTTGTTCTATTTTGAGGTATCAATGTATTACACATTTGTATTTTTGACTGAAAACTTTGATACAACAAAAAATAAAATTTTGCAATCTCCACAATAGATGGAGGGCAATTCATTAAAATTTTTCAAAATTCTATCACAGAAAACTTATCACACTTTGGACACATTACTTGCTAGCGTTAACTAATAATCAGTCTCCGAGATATTCAGACATACGTGCAGGAATCCAGTTGTCTTTCTCTCCCTTCAGTCTGGCCACCACCCTCTGGACATGTTCCTCCTGTTTCCTCTCCTCATCCTTCAGTTTGTCTATCAGGGCAAAGCACCTCTCTCGCTCCTTCTTCTTCTTGCTTTGAGCCTAAAGAAATTATTTTTCTTTTATGAATAAAAATTTTAAAAGGTACTTTAACTCCCAATACTATTGTGGTTCTTATTTTCAAGATATGTAGTAGTAGGAGGAGGAGGAGGAGAAGTAAAAGTAGCAGTTGTAGACTTTAAGAAGAGCATAAAATAATTTTCTAACAGCTCATATTAAATTGTATATCATAAGCATAGTAATGACAAATCTCATTTATATGCAGTTTGTCAGTTAGAGTAAAAATCACAAGTAGGCTTGTTAACTTTGACAAAGCAAAGTTACTCATTTACCTGAAAATGAACTATGCAGAACACAAGACTCTTAAACAAATGTTATATGTTCAATCACTCTGATTAAAAGCCATAACAACAAAGCAACTAGCTCCAAATTAAGTGACTCCTCCTCATTAAAGTGACAAGGAATACAATAAAAGTCATCCTTTCTTTACAAGTGACAAGGACAAGAGAGAGAGGGGGGAGACAGAGAGAGAGAAAAAGAACAAGAGTGATTGAGAGAGAGAGAGAGAGAGAGAGAGAGAGAGGGGGGGTGCTTACCATGTCCTTGGTCTCGTCCACTGCTTGCTGGACCTTCCTCAGCTGGTCCATTTGTTTATTATAGGCCACACTGGGGACATGGAGGTCATAGATGGACAGGGACCAGAATGTCACATAGAACTGAGGACTGGAACAAACACCGGGCATTTGTTTGTATTAATTTATCTATTTTCATATTCATATTTACTGTAAGTTTTAGTAAGTAACCCAGTAACAGATTTTATATCAACATATTAAATCATATCTTTAACAAAAATAACAGCAACTTGACAGCATTTAGGTAGTTCTTAGAAATCATAATGTACCCCTGAACTTTTAAGTCAGAATCAGACTAGTAGACACCAGAAGATTACTAGGCTACTAGTAAGTATTAATCAAAATTAACAGTCTGAAGATGAATTTATAGACACCAGAAAATTAACCTTATCATAAATTTCCACTTGCCAGACTGGACTTATACCTATGAAAAAATTCTTCATTTTTAAATCAATAGTACAGAACCAAACCTAGTGGTTAATGGCCATGGACAGATGCAAACCTTAAACCTATTTCCTACCTTATTTCCTCCCACACCTTTGGAGAGTTGACTGGTTTCACAGCCTCTATCACTGGCTCCATCACAGATGCTGCTGCCTCTATGTACCTCTGAGTCTTAAGATATATATTGATAGTATAGAGTATACAGTATTGTAACTATATGCACTACTGACACAGCTATTATGTAAAATAGTCATAATCAGAAAAATGACACACATGAATGCATATAACAGTGAGAAAATCAAACAGCTCCCATAGCATTATTCCTTAAAACATGAAAATGACTGATATAAATAATTTTTGTTTTACAGTTATTTTAGTCATGGTATATACAGTAACAGATAACACTGTAGAAAAAGATAACCTACCTTCAGTTGATTGGTACTGTTTTTATTGCTTTTATCTATTTTTCTAAGCTCATCAAATTTTGTCTGAAATAAACAGATTTGCTTAGATAATTTTCTTGCAAAGTAACAGTTGCTCTCACAGGTATCCCCACCTTTATATTCATAAACTCACTTCAGTAATGGTAAAAGTAAATTCATACATAAAATAACACAAGTGATATCATAGCATGGACAAAAGTATTTCTGTTATATCAGATTCTACAGTTTAAACCAATTCCAATTCTCTTCATTCTTCTTTCCTTAAATAAAATAAACTATATGTATATAAATCACTATCAAATGGGACCAGCCAAATAAGTCAAGAAAGAAAATAAATCTTAAAAACTACACAAAATATTAATAAATGACATAATAGACACTACTATAATAGTTATCCAGCATCTCTTACATTGATTGCATGAGTATACATAGGTCTTGAAAGGAAAAAAGCGGCATCCGGTGCTACATGATAATCTCCAACCAGTACTTCTATGGAGGGCAATCTCTTCACAAACTCCTCTGTACTCAGCTGGGTGGACAGGAAGCTGCCAAACTGGACCAGGGTGTCTTGGCACTGGAAGTCATATATAATTTATGAAATAATTTACCATTCTGCGTTTCAATTCTGAATCTCTTAAGAGTAAAGCTTTGACTACTGATCTGAATACACCATATTGGAAAGGAAAAAAGGCCAGTTTAACAAAAGAATTTTAGACCAAAAATTGATCTAAAAATAAGCTTCCCACCAGTTAGATGAACTCCTTTCCTTCTTTCCTAGAACACTCCACCTACCTGATCATATAATTTCCCCACCAGTTTGATAAACCTGTCCCCTCCCTCCTGGTACACTATACAATCTCTCTGCTGCACCATCAGCAGACACATAGGGATGGCCAGGTCATGTTCTAACAGGGTCTCCTTTAGACGATTTGAGGATTTCTTGATGTTCTTGACCTGAGCAAAATATCCACCCTGAAAATGAAAATTAGAGACAGTCAGACTTTTACCTCAGTTCAAAACCATGGGCTTGCTACTTATTTTTAACCGAGGGTGTATTTGCAAAATTCTGCATATAGTCATAGACTACGAAACCTGTAAAGGTTGGTTTATATAGGCCTACATCTTATTAATAATAAAGTAAAATCTTTGCAAAACATGGTTTAAGCATTTTGATATCATTAGTCAAACAAGGCAGCAAAGCTGTCAAATGTACAGACAAAAAACAGAAAATAAAGATGCAAAAAAGGTCATTTTTTCAATTTTGATGCAATAATAAATAATGCTTATAATAGCACTGTCAGTCAACACTGAATTTTAATCTTGCACAACAGGTAACATGGTCAATAACAGGAGCAGACCCAGAGATATTTTCTGACAGTATTACAAAGTATCTATGTTGATCCATCCTCCATTTTGATGGTCTTCCAACAGAAAAAAATAGATACCAGTCAATATAAACTTAATAACCTGACTATCTTCCGGAAGACCCAGAAGATGGTCTCAATCCACCACTTCAATAAGATTACAGTTTCAGGACCATGAGAGTTCAAATTCACATTATGAAAGTCTCAATATTTGAAAAATGATGACAGTGCATAAAATAATATTACATAATGTTTAAAGACATATAAAACAATACAACTGCTTATGT